GGCGAGCAGGCTATGGCCAAGAAGGAGGAAACGAAAAAAAGAAAAGAAAAAAAAGAAAGAAATATTAAAATATTTAAAAATATTATTAATAAAAAGAAATTTTGTGGCGTTACCAAACGCATTTCTGTTCTTTTTCTATTCCAGGGATGGAATTTTGGGCCGTTAACAAGCGCCTTAAAATGCTCAGAATCAATTCCGAGCACAGAATCAAAAAGAATAATTTCTGAGCAGAATCTGTTCCCGAGTACAAAATCGTTGTCATGCGCAGCCTAAGGCTGCTAAAATATTGATTGGGAGAACTTCTTACACACATGTTGACACCTAAATTTTGGTGACCCAGTTAATCATTCGTTGCATAAAAACTTAGGGATCGATCCCGGTCCCTAGACAAAAAAAAAATTAGTTAAATTGCATATAGATTATGAGCATTTGAATTAGTATTTAGGCTCATATAGTTGCATTTGCATTGGACTGGCGGCAGATGGACTTAAGTGAATGGTTTTAAGCTTAATTGATTGGACTCAGCCCAAAAGATTAAATGTTTGTCCAAGCCCATTGAAAACATATATGGCGGAAATTTGCATTATAGAGCAAGTTGGAATAATTGAATTATCGAATTATTAAATAATATACTTGGAAGATAATTCAAATTATTCTATGAATATTCAGCTAGAGGAAATAATTAGAAAATTGCCTAAGCTGAATATCAAAATTAGGGAATAGTATATCTTGACTCTTGCAAGATAACCCTGGCTCACAATCAAAGAGGCCACAGATATTGAATACACGGCACCAATGAGAGAAAAAGGAGAGCACGTTCGCGAGGGAGCTCTCTTTCTGCAATATCCATTACTCACGAGGACCTCTTCATCACAACAGACCCAAGAGAGAGGAGTGTTTTTTTTTGGCTTTTCCCTGCAGGTGGGACACAAGGCGCGTTCAACACATTGAAGAAGATGCCGAGAGGGGTCTCCACCAACGGAGAAAGAGCAAAGGAGGAAGAAAAAGCAAAAATTCTCTCTATTTGCTTGCATAGCAACGGTTCTGACAGTGCTCCATCGTTGCCACGATCGTATTAGCTCCTGCACTGCTGCCACTTTGTCGTGCTTTGCCACATTCTGCCGCTCCTTCCTCGTTCCGCTCGTAGCCTACCGAGACACCGCGTTTTCCAGCGAGTCTTAGTCACGCTCGACAAGCTCCAATCACGAACTCGATAACTTGGTTCCAGGAGAACTTCCAGCGAGCGACGATCCTTTTGCAGCACCGCGTTCAACCACATCAAAGCCATGACTCCCCTGGCGTGACCTGCATCGGGAGTCTTGCACTGCCTCAATTCCTGCCGAGTATTCATCGTATACTCACCAAGCCGAGGCGTTGGGTTTTCTGTTTTGCAGGCTGTTCAGAATATATGAGTCACTATTTGCGAGTCTCTATGAGCCAGGCCATCGATGAGCACCGTACACCGCCGCCCATCCTCCGAGCCTCATCCGCAAGCCGTGATCCGGTCCGATTCTGATAATATTACGCGAGCCCAAATTAAGTAACGATCTTATCAGATTTGATATAAATTGTTTAATTGCTTAATTCGGATAGATTTTGTTATCTAATTGATTGGATTGAGATATTAGGCATTATCCAATTAGGGGGCTATTGATTGAATTGATATAATTACTAATTTGATCCGTAAAGATTTCGGATCATTTTTTTAATTAATTTGACTTAATATTTGGGTAATTGTTATGCCTAAAGATTGCGGTAATCTATAATTTAATCCATGAGACGATGGGTTATTTTTTAGATTATTGTGATCTTTGATTTGAGATTTTTGTGGATTACGAGTGTAGATTTGGTGAATATTATCTTGCGATGAGTGCTTATCCTTTGCTTGATTGTTTCCATAAAAAAAATACCAAAAATATCTTATAATAGATTGTATTCTTCTCTTAGCCTTAATCACTTTTTTAAATTAAGATACTTATTTATTTCGAACTTTAATAAAAAAAAATCCAAAAAAATATTATTTGCATGTCATATTAAAAGTTGCATGTCTAGGTTCATGTACTTAGGAAATTGCGTGCTGTACTAGAATAATATATTTAATTGTTGTTAGAATTAGGATATTTATTTGTCACATGTCATGTTAGATTAAAATCGTGCGTTGCATATAGTTTAGTTTTCATTAAATAAGATAAAACCGTAAAAAAGATTTGAGTGGAATTGTGTGTTAATTAGAAATTATGTTTAGGTTGAGAATGTGATTTTCTAATCAACCTTGCAGATGTTTACGTTGCTATGAGGTAAGTAGATTCCTTCCTTACCCTTTCCAATTTATTCATCGTTTTGATTGTTTAGTGTTTCATTAATGGTTGCGCACCCGCATGATCACCTCATGTGTTAGTGGATATATTTAAAATCAATCCAGCTGCCTACTAAACATCTTTGAATAAAAGAGAAAAGGTACCGAAAAGGCATTAAAGTAATCTAGCGTAACCAAGTCCCCGAACTCATAATCTCCGATTCGTAGGAGTAAAGTAAATCTTCCAATACTTTACTTGGGTTTCTAATCTACCTATCAAAAATAGATTGGCGACTTCTAAATGAAAATGATTTGCATGTTAAAAACTTGAACCAAGTTGCGAATTGGTATGGACTTAGGAAAACCTAAGCTAGGTTCAGACTTAGTAATCTATTAGCCAAACCCCTAGGTGGTGCAACCCGAGGGTAGGTCGCGACAACACACATTTAGGATCCAACTGCACAATCAATGGGTGCACTTCTTGACTATATTTATAGGCCTAATAAGGAGGTGTAACTGATTCCTATATATTTCTAGAAAATTCTATATGTGGCCAATTTATTAGCCGCACATTTCTGGAGAAAAATATTTTACAAGAAAGTATCTTGATATTTAAGGAGCTAGCCTAGAAAAATCTAAAATTCTTGGAGAAGAGAGGGGGTGCAACGTTTTTTTCACTCTCAACCCTTATGCTATGTTTGGTCATCTGGATTTAGATTGTGATAGGATGGGATATGGTGGGATTAGAAATCGTTTAAATATCCTCTGGATTGTAGAAAATTTCATCCCGTGCTTGGTGCAATCCGAGATAGGATTAAAAATCTTTGAAAATCTCACTTGCTTAGCGCAATCTCCTAGGATATTTAGATCTCATTGCTTGAGCTCCCTCGATAGCGTCTCAAACCCGCTCTCTTCTGCTCCCTCCGGTTCATCTTCTTCACCATAATTTCGCCAGATCCACCAACATCTCCACCTTCATATCGTTGCTCTAGCTCAGCTTCACCGTATTAGAGGTGATTTGAACATCGACAAGGACAAGTCTCGGGTAGCCGAGGGCATCGTGGAGTGATTGGGGGAGGTAGTGACCGTGGCGATCTGGTAGACGAGGTAGCAATGGCCGATGTAGTTGTGAAGGATAGTGATGGGATGGTGGATGCCGCATGTGAAGCTTAGGTGCCACTCGACATCGAAGCCGACGATTTGAGGTAGTAAGGGGCGGAGAGGAGGTGGACGGCACTAGGGCAACAAATAACGAGGGCGGATAAGCCTCTATTGTGGACGACGGCCTCAAAGGATCGAGCGTGCTCTTGAGAGGATTCGAATTCTTCGATGGTGATGGCCATGTGACATATAACTTCTCATTGTCACCCTTAGTTGTCGGAGCACGATTGGCTGGACATTGATGACAATCAAAGTGGTCAGAGACGATGACGATTGCACGGTGTTTGGAAGTGACGATGATGGGCTGTCGTGGCGTGGTCCTTGCGCGGTGGCCGGCAAAGTCGGACTCCATCATTTCATCATTAGAAAAAAATTGTTAAGTTATATTTAAAAGAAAAATTTATCCAATCCGGATTTATTCCAACCCCTAATCCGGATTTCTTATTCGGCATTCTATCAAGGTGTATTCGAGTTTATCCAGTTTAGAGGACACTGCCAAACACCGGACATGCTATTTTGTTATCCTATCTGGATTTAAATACTGACTACCAAACGCAGCCTAAGTTGAACGGGCAAACGCGATCCATTGCAATTATGGCCGCGTCGTAAATCTGCCATGGCAACCATCGTGTTGAACCTGGGAATATGCCTTACGGGCAAACCCGATCCAAAAATTTTGCTCGTCTAGTTATGCAATGGGCAATCCTGTGTTCTTCCTCGATTTGACTAACTTTTAAGCAGCGAACGGCGACCGAAAGCAAGCCGCGGCCGGAAGACGCAGCGCCCTCCATGCCACGGCCCCGATCAAACCCAGCACGCGCTTATCCTCGGATCCGGCCTGCCCTCGAATCGACGGCTCCGACGCAGCGCGGCACCGGCATGGATGGCCCGTCTCATGTTCTCGTGTCGTGTCGTGTCGTGTCGTGTCAAAGAGCTTCGCCTCACTTCTTTTTTGGGTCGATGCTTCGGCTCACTTGAGCAGTGGGGGGCAGTGTCGCCCCCCCGCGATGAAAGCGCGCGGGGACACACTCTCGGTCCGAAACTCGGAAAAGAGATCTCGGCAAGCTAGCCGTTGACGCGGCCCCCGGGGGTTGGAGCTAGCCGTTGCGATCCCCTCTTTCCCTCGGATTCAAGTGGGGATTCGATGCTGTCCCCTCCCCGTTTCGGACAAGGCGAGAACTCGGGAAGGGCCCGGGGGGGGGGGGGCCCACCCCGGGCCCCCCTCCCACGCCCAACTTCTGCCCTCCCACTCGGTCTCGAAGTTCCCTCTAATTTACGCCCGCTGCGCAGCCAAAAGCCCCGTAATTCCGCGCTCCTGTCGGGGGCACTTTCGGCAGGACATGGAAAAGGGAGGGGGGGGAGGAATCCCAACGGACACTAGTGGGGACCACGGCAGTACTCTCTCTCTCTCTCTCTCTCTCTCTCTCTCTCTCTCTCGCGGCATTCAATGCGAAGCAGAAGCGGATGCAGAGAGGACTTTTTTGTCTTTTAATAGGAGGTGGGGGGCTTTGTCCGCTTTGCTTGTCGTGGCTCCACTCGCTTCTCTCTTCCCTCTTCTCTCCGTGCTCTGCTCGCGGACATCGATGAGCGCTGGATCGTTGGTGAACGTGTGAACCCTTCTTCTTGAGTTTTGTCCCTCTTGCTTGTCTCGTTGCGGTTCCCTTCCTTCCTTCCTTCCTGTTCCCCAATGGCTGAAACCCTAGCCCTGCGTCCCGAGCCGGCCCGGGAGGCCGATGCCGGCAATGCCGGTAACAATGGCGGCGGTGGCGGTGGGGGTGGTGGAGGAGGAGCGGGGAGGGCGGAGATCGACACGTCGGCTCCGTTCGAGTCCGTCAAGGAGGCGGCGAGCCGGTTCGGCGGGATGGGTTTCTGGAAGCCCTCTCATCTTCTCAAGTCCCCTGAAGCTCAGGTCCCCTCTCTCTCTCTCTATCTCTCGCTCTCGCTCTCTCTGTGATTGATTTGGGAATGTAGTTGATACGTTTCTGTTTTGTTGGAGTTCGTTGATGGGGTGGGCGATTGATTTTTGAGTAATGTAGAAAGTTTCTGTTTTACGAGCCAACGAGATCATAGATGGACTGGACTGGACTTGAACACTAGACTAGCTCCTGATTTGGAGTTGATGAGCGTATTTATATGTAAAGTGGCTTGGGTGCAACTGGTTTCGTTAAGTCATAGATTCACATTGATCAGTTTTAGAAACTGCCTGTTCAGAGCATGCATTGCATGGCTGGACTTAGTTCCCAGTTTGCCTGCGAGTTTCTATTGAGTAATCGGGTTGCTTTTTTTTAATGGTGTTGTGAGAATGGTGTTCTTCGTGTCTGGGTCTTTGCTCCGAATGCCCTGTTATTCATTTCTACAGTATGCCTTCCTCTTTGTTTAGGATTGTAGTAGCACTGCGTGTATGCTTGTTGGGTTAATAAACTGTTACGGGCATTTGTCCAATTAGTACTTTTGAGACAGAAAAGACCAGAGCGGTTGATAAATTGGCTAGTCTTCTGAGTCATTTCTTATTTTTAACAGAACGGGGAAGAGGTTGACTTAGTGAAACTGGAAGAGCAGGCGGCACAGCTGGAGAAGGATCTGATTGTCAAGGAGCGTGAGACTTTGGATGTCTTGAAGGAGTTGGAATCGACAAAAATAATTGTTGAAGAACTTAAAGCAAAGCTTCAGAAGGAAACATCCGAAATGAATGCCGCACTTGAGATGAGTGTGAGAGATGGAAATGGTGATCCTATGGAACATGAAGCTGAAAAGGAAAACCACTATGAAGGCGGTTCACTGAATAGACAGGGTGGCTCAGGTTCCTGCCCTTCTTCATCCCCGGGGTTAATTCTAATGGAACTGAAACAAGCTAAGTTGAACCTTACCAGGACCACTAATGATCTCAGCGATATCCGCGGTTCTGTAGATTTGCTTAATAAGAAACTAGAGAAGGAAAGGGTTTCCCTTGAGAAGACTCGGGAGAGGTTGACTCAGAACTCGTCGAAGATGTCTTCACTTGAGGAAGAGCTAAACCGGACGAGACTAAAGTTGCAAATGGCAAAAGAAGCAGAAACTAATTCACCACCTGATGGCCCTTCTGCTCTTACAAGGGAGTTCCATCGCTTGAGCTCTGAGGCAGAGCAGTTCAAGATAGTGGCAGAAGCTGCGAAACTTGAGGTTCAGAGAGCCATATCTGAGATTGAGCAGACGAAAACTAAAATTAGAACAGCCGAGATCGGGTTGGTTGCAGCTAGAAAAATGAAGGAAGCTGCTAGAGCGACAGAAGCTGTTGCTCTTGCCGAACTTAAGGCTTTATCAAAGACTGAGAGCTCAATGGGTGAAGTGACCCTAACATCTGAAGATTACTCTTTTCTAACCTCCCAAGCTCGTGAAGCAGAAGAAAAATCTAAGAAGAGAGTATTGGGCGCGATGCTCCAAGTCGATGCGGCAAATATTTCTAAAAAGGAGATATTAAAGAGGGTAGAGGAGGCGACAGAGGAAGTAAAAATAAGCAAGAAGGCTTTAGAAGAAGCTCTTTGTAGAGTGGATGCCGCTAATCGTGGAAAGCTCGCTGTAGAGGAGGCTCTTCGGAAATGGAGGTCTGACCATGGTCGCAGAAGACGTTCACTACATAAATCAACCAAGTTTAAAAATTCTGGCCCCTCTCACCAGAGGAGAGATTCCCGCCTTATTGAAGCGGGTGAACTGAATATGGATGACATTGAGGTGTCAAAACCTGTTCTAAAGCCAACTCTCTCCATTGGACAAATCCTGAGCAGGAAGTTGCTTCTAGCTGAAGAGTTTGAATCAGGGAAATTGTCTGGAAAGGACGATGTGAAACGGAAGGTTTCACTGGCTCAAATGCTTAGTAAGCAAAATGACGTGCCTATTTCTCGAAGGCCTAGGGAGGAATGTGGTCATAAGCAGCAGTTGTCGGCCAAGAGGAAGAAATTTGGCTTCGCACGGTTCTCGCTGCTGTTGGCGAAGCAGAATAAGAAAAAGCAGAAGCCATTGCCCAATTAGATCAACGGATGTCGGGAAATTCAATTAGTCGATCGCTAACTGCAGTTTCTGTTCTAACTCACGTTTTGGCTAGCGTTCTCGCTATTCGGGCTTATGTTTTTTTATTTTATTATTCTGTGGGAGTTCAATATAATTTCTTAGTTTGTTGTTTGGCTAGGCCTTGTTTACGCAATTGGGTCCCCAGATTCCACGGTGGGGATTGGTGATGACTCCAGATTTGTACATGATCTAGTTTGCATTTGTGCCTAATCAAGTACCGAATGTTGTTGTGCACATTACTGAACTGTTCGGTTATGCATTGAACCGTTCGGGCCAAGACGACTCAGCAAACTGTCAATTGCCAGCCATTGTTTATTCCAGATTATACTGTCTTTCTGGTGAGATCATTGAATCTAGTCAGGTAAGAAAAATACATCCACCGAACTGTCAAAATCCCCGAGCAGACAATGTTGCCTACACTGTTGCGTCCCTGCTTACCCGAAAAACTTCAAGATACAAGCAGGCTCACTTTCCCTTGGTCGCTTCGGAACCAATCGTATTCCTGGTGACCAAGTTTCACGCAAATCCACTGAACATCTTACGTTCACTCAGTCTTAGGAAATGGCACGATCTCTTGGTACACAGCCAATCTCACTCTCCAAAAAAGGCCAAGAAACGGATATGCTCCAAGTTTCAAAATTTCTAGACCAATGAGCACAAAGTAGGTTTCGGGATTTGGTAACATACCAGTTACCGTATATCATAGGGCCTGTACCTTGTGCAGGGTACGATGTAAGAAAATACAGAGTACCCTGCATAATATTGAAGTAAACATATATGTATTCGAACTATTTACAGTATTGTCTGTTCTTTATAAATTTTTTACCTTTAGATGTGTGAATTGATGGGAAGAAGTAGATCTACCTTGCCAATTTATTTTTGGTATTATTATGTCTCCGTATCTTATTATATCAATATGGATATGCATATCGTCATAACGTCGAATATTCAATGTTAATGTGTTAATAATTAGAATTGTGCCAATAGAAGATTTATTAAAATATAGTGTAGTGAATATTTTCTAGAATCTATAGAACCAACGGATTTCAAATGTTGGGTGACTTTAAAACCCAAAAATAGTTCCCGTACTCGATCACGAATCAATATGGTAAATCTCGAGATGATACTAATGAAACGATGATAGCCGTAAATTTGCAACAAAGTTAAATAGTCCCCATAGATGTAACAAATATTCATTCGTTCGTCCGATTTCTAGATGAAGCGATGACTCTTCTCCTAAGAATTGCCCAATTTGACTTTTGACGGATCGATGGTAGCTGTGTCGGAAGTCAAACACTCAGCGTAGAAACCGAGCTTGTCTGTTTTCTTTTTCTGTTTTTTTCAATAATTACATCCAAATAAAAGATTTTATCCCAAAATCCAAAATGAAATTCTTGCCCCATCAAAAAGATAATAATAATAACAAAAAATAAATGAAATTAAAAAAAACGATTTTTTCTAGCCTTCTGATTGGAGGGGAGGCGACGTTTTCTAAAAGAGACGGCGATCGACAGAACGACAAAGCCACGCTTCCACGGCTTTACCATTCCAGCACTCCAAAGCATCCGTCGTTCCTCTCTCTCTCTCGCTTGCTCAAGCACCATCGTAGCTCTGCTCGACGCAACCCCAGTTCGTGGGACAGAGGTAATCTCTTGTCTGGGTCCGTTTTGCGCGGTTGGTTTCCGCTGCCTTTGGTGGATCGAAAGCGATGGTCGGAGACTTCTTGTGCGCTCCATCGATTCGTTGGGGCTTTCGGGTTCGCAATTCTTGCTCGGTCGAATCAGTTTCTTGTCGCGTTTTGCGACTTTATGGGTGTCTCCGGCCTGGCGTCATGTGGGTGATTGTGGGGGGATTTCTGGGTCGAGTCGTGGTTTCTTGATCGTTCGCTGATCGTCGAGGTTCCTTCGTGGACAAGCGTGGACTAGAACTCTGAAGTCTTGTTTGAAATCAAAGATTTGAGTAAAAAGACTCCTCCTTTTTTTCTTGAAGTTGTTAAATCTCTGTTCTTGTTGATTCGGATGGTTGAGTCTTGCGTTTTGGTGTCCTAGTTCTTGTTTTGCCGCTGGGGTTAAAGCTTGCCTTTCATGAGATGGTTGAGGTGTTAAGCAATTGGAGTCCTGTGTCGATTAATCTTCGTTAGAAGATGATTATGCTGCGATGCTCTTGCGCTCCGTTGATTTGCTTATGTTGGTTTAATCTTGTTCTAGTGCTTCCAGTCAGTTTAATAATTGAAATTCGGTCAGATTGACATTGAGTTTCTCGTCGTTTGTGTGAATATTAACTGAATTGGCAGTATCAAGTCGCAAGACATGCCGGGTTGTAGCATGTGCTTTGTTATTGCTTAGACCATGTGAAGAGTTGGAGTAATCGTGTGTGACTTTTCCAAAATAATATTTTCTTCCCTGTTTGTGGTTGAGTAGACTTTGCCTCAGGAGTGACTCGATTTTACGTGGGACTTGGGTTGGATGGACATTACAATGACGATTGTTAAGAATGATGTTATAATGATATCATTCCCTAGATGGTGCCCCTTTTTTAGAACATGCTTTTATTAATAGACCATAGTGGGTCCACTTTATTTCAACTTCCTTGCTGCAAATACAACGTGGATCGTTCTTTTTTTGGGGAGTAATTGAGGTATTATAAAATGCCCGAAAAGAATACTTGTAGTTTAAATGGACAGAAGAAAAGTATAAAAGAAAGGCTTTCCTTAAATAGACCTGCAGACAATTGAAATTCTTAGGTCGTCGTGTTTGAATGTTGCTGTTTGCAGTTAACTTTTTCGTTGCATGTGTATCTTGCCTTTTGCAGTAAACTTAGTCATTGCATGTGAATCCTGGCTTTGCAGTTAACTAAGCTGTCGTGCATCTTGTTATGTGCAGTTACATTTTGATGGTGCAATTCTTTGAAACTTAGCTAGAGTCATCATCATATAAAGTTGTTATATTATGTTATTGTTTCGTCGTGGATGCTAACGGTGTTTCGAATTTATTTGGCCCTCCAGGTGCCATGGATGGGAAAATAGGTGTTTTGTTTGTTCTTGTGTTGAGCACAACCTTCATCTGTGATGCTAGACAACTAAACTCAATTGTGGGAGGTACTCATTATTCATTATGTTGCTTTAATATAATTTTTTTTTTTCTGTTATGAGTGTAGTCAACTCATAGGTATCTGATTCTTAGTGTTGGGACTTATGTGCTTAATCTTTTTGTATACTATGCTGTCTTATCCGGTTTTCGCTTTGATTGAGGTAGCACCGCAGGCCTCAATCTTTCACTCATTTGATATAAATACAGGCTGCTAACGCTTGTTTTCCATGACTTAAAGAGTATTTCAGTGGTATTGCTAGGATTCCATTTATGTAATTAGAATGTGTACATGCTCCAGGTGGTTGCTTTGTGCACTAATATGGTTAATTTTGTCCAGAAGTTCTTTGATATTATAGTTCACTGTGTAGAGTTTCCTTTGAGCAATTACTACATGAAGGTTGCTTGAGGTGACAGCTCAATAGACCTCAGTCTCAATAATGATGCCTTGAGCAAGAAATACTTAAGTGGATCAATTTGCTAATTTATGATGATATGCGCATCGATTTTTTCTTTTGTAGGTATTAACCTTAGTGTTACTGATGCAGTTCTCTTTGAAAAAAATCTGAATGCTGTCAGTTTTCCTGTTATTCGTGTCTTTAGTATATTGCAAGGGCTAGAGGTATAGGCTGTTGGTTAATCATTCAAAGTTTATTGCAGTTAGCATGATTAAGTCCCTCCTATCAAACTTCGAAAGTAACTTTCATTTTTTGAGTGTTTTTTGGCAAGTCATCTCATTTTAGTTGCTGAAACTTATAAGACAATGCTGTGGAATGACATGTTAAGGGAGTTCATTTTTCAGGAGAAGGTTTGAGGAATGATAATGTCTGCATGCTTTGTGAGGAGTACACTGCTCAGGCACTTGATTACATTAGTGACAATAAAACCCAGACTGAGATTCTTGAACTTCTTCATAAGAGTTGTTCCCATCTGCCATCTTTTAAACAAGAGGTACTTTTCTTCTCTTATTCTAGCTATGTATTTTGTACGACGACAATGAAGATTTACTTTGCCCTATTATCCTCATGTTTTCACTGTCGATCTTCAAAATTCCTCTTTATTTTCTCCACTCCATCTTCATCCTCATCGTCTTTCTTTCTTTCTTTCTCTCCTTTTTTTCTTTTTTGGAATGGTAGAAGAAGTCTTCAATCAAAATAAATGGAGTCCTTACAGAGGGCTTACAACGCTGACAGGCTAGTCTTCTACATAAAGTTGCATTGTGACATTAAAACGTGAAACTAGCATTGATTCAAGTGGTAGGCAACCAAAAATCATAAAGTTTTCCTTTTGACTGGTACCCTTTTCTGGCCAAGTCCTCTGCACAAGACTTTATTTTATCATAGTTGTGCTTGGCCTCAAATTTGTCAGATTTTCTGGGTTAAGATCATGCAGTCTCGCAGTGAAGGAGTTCCAGCCTGGCATTTTGTCTCCACTGATCATGTCAATTACTATGTTTGCAATTGACTTGACCTCAAACTAGATGATGGGAAGTCTGAGATTATCCTAAAGGACCTAATGCTCAGTCACCGCAGCGATAGTGGTAGCTATGTCCATGGAATATCTTTAACACCCACTTTTCCCATTCATTTCTGACGGATTATTACCCATAGTGTTCAATTTTTACAGCTTTTTGTGACATTACTCAATGGAGATTGAGCTCTGCTTTATCTTAGTTGCTCAAACTTTGATTTAGTTCTTGCCCTTTGGGATATTTTCCTCTTATTCACAGACAAAGTGTGTGCTTGGTGATTGGCAGCTAAGCGAAACTGCTAGTCTTGATCAAGTGTTCCAATTCATCACATGCAGATAATTTAGATATCGTACGAATGTAGAGCTAGCAAACTGCTTCTATCGTGTTGGCAGAACACAGTGTTCTGTGAAATTGATGGCTGGTTAAATGTCCTGTAGCGAAAATTTGAAAATTTTCACAAGCTGTAATGTTGCCTCAATAGAATATATACATTTGGTGACAGAATAGTTGTTTCCTCAGCATTCTTTTCCTTTCATTTCTCTAGTTCATGGACACTAAGCCTGTCTGTCATATATCTGCAGTGCATCACTTTGGTCGACTCCTATGCTACTCTCTTCTTCACAGAGGTATCCTCAGTAGAACCAGAAGAGTTCTGTAGGAAGGTCAACCTGTGTGAAAAAGTGGCATTCCTTTCTTCACAACTTCAGGATGATAGCTGTGAACTGTGCCATCATGCTGTTTCAGAAGTCTTGGATAAATTAAAAGACCCCGACACACAGGTTGCTACTTTTTATCTGCATCTAGCCTAATCACTGTTGCTTTGATAATTTGTTCATGCCTTGTTTGCCTGCATATGCAATTGTCATAGCGATTGCAAAGTTTATTGGATAAATCAAAAGACCCCATGACACAATGATTCATTTCTTCACAACACCACATGAGGTGTGTGTCAAGTTCTATTTGCAAATCAGTTAGTTGCAAAAGTTAAAGCTGTGCCCACCTGTGGTTACCATTATGAGTCATTGTTAGAGATTTTCTTGAAGCAAGACAAATTTCTGCAATTCCTAAGGACTTTTTTTCTAAAACCTGCAAAACTCTTTGATATTTACTATCAAAGCAAAGACCGAACAATTTGTTGCCTCTGTGGTTGGACTCAATGAGACATTGCTATATTGCAATGTCTTTTTTGGCCAAAACTCTAGGTAGTGTTTAGTGCTTTTTCTTGCAATTTATATGCACGAGGTTGAATTATAAGAAGTGTCTAGTTCAATTTTAGTTCTTTTATAAGAAATCCACAATCCTTTAGTGATTCATTTTTTTCTGATGAAAAAAATTCTTCTTCAGATGGACATAATTCAGATTCTCCTGAAGGCTTGTAATTCCATGGAAAACTATGCGAAGAAGGTGAGATTTGTTCATACTTTATATTCATAAGATTTTATCCTATTAGTAGCTACTCGCCATTGGCTGTTTACCATTTTATTTAGAATCAAATCTATGATTCATAGCTCCTTATGGTTAGCCAAAAGTGAAATTCTCTAGTTGATGTTGACTGGAGGAGATCAGTCAATTCTGCCGGACATCTCTTGAATGTCACGTCTGCGAAAAGCTGATGAGAGAGGATATATGATTACTTGTGATGTCTGTTTGGAACAGACAGTGTCCTCTCTCTTTATTTTTCGCATTTCGAAATTGGTTCTCTTTTGACCTCCTTTGTGTGAGTCTAACTAATGGTCAACTTTTACAAGCAAACTTTCTGGTGTTGATCAAAATTGCTTTACGTGGAGGCAAAGAGATAAAACCAAATCCGTAGGGTATCCAAATGAGCTATCTAGAAAGTAGAAAGCAACTGGAATTTGGGAGGCACTGTATTCGTTATGTTTTGTATCAGAGCAGACGAAAGCTCCCAGTTGTGCTTACTCGAATTGAATACTGGAGATAATCCGAGCAAAGCATTGGGTCTTTTCCTAGGCCGTAGTTTGTCAAAATTTTCTTGTCCGCACCATTGCTTCACTTTATAATGGTTTCTCATGTTATGTTTTTCGCCAGTGCAAGAAGATGGTTTTCGAGTACGGGCCACTGATTCTTGCCAACGCGGAGCAGTTCCTGGAATCAAATGACATATGCACCACTTTGCATGCCTGTAAAGCTTCTACCATCAGCGCAGGAGAGGCGCTGGGAACTTCATCTGGAGTTGCTTCCTCTTAGACGCAGCGCTAGAAATGGGGTAGCGTCGAATTCATCTGTGGACAGCATCTGCATTCTTTGCTTTCTGTTGTATACTATACGTACAAGTTTGATTGGAGTGCTTTACCCAAGAATGAAGTGAATAGCATACTGAATTTGGAAGTTACATGACTTACACGCGTTTGTAAAATATCTCTCGTCATGAATTATCAATCTGAGTTTGGAAGTGTGGTCTTTCTGTACGTGGATTCTGCTTTTTCTACTGCAGACTCTGAATACGTGCAAGTCAAATTCTTTTCCGCAGCTTGTCTCAAATGTACTTTTTTGTGGAGATTCTCAATCACTTTTCACATAGAAGATTGAAGTATATCTGCAGTCTGCTGAGTTCTTCTTGTCAATATCATTGGGGTGTCCAGGGTCGGCGAGCAACCGAATTCTTCGCGGTGGCTGTGTCCCCTCATCAGGTAAATTGGTAGAGTCGCCCAGGTCCGTGACTCTCACGACTTAATCCCCAAAGAATTGGCAACATTGGGGCCGATGTCGAACTCCGGATCTCTCGCTTCTCGAGGTGAAAGGTCCGACCAATCCTGATCGCCGCCGATCCACAGGCAATTGGGTCTGCCATCCACATGGGAGTTGGGAGTTCTGTTTGTTCCCTCTCAAATCTTTCACCACCACCTCTGCTGATGTGATCCTTCAAGGAATCATCTCTTGTGGGATCAATAGTCGTTAAATCACGGAAAGATAGCTTTCAGCATTTCGTTGGACCCTTCGAAACAGGCAAAAGTACACTATAAGTGCCATAACTTGTGTACGGCGATCACTTTGGTGCCATAACTTTTTTTCGGATCACTTTGGTGTCAACTTTTTTGAAAAACAATCATTTTAGTGCCAATGCTGACATGGCTCGCCGGAAATCCGATGTGGCGCTGACACGGCTCGCCGGAGAGGTCCACGGCTCGCCGGAGAGGTCTAGTCATCATTAAAAACCAAAAACGACGCCGTTTAGCCCGCTGACGTGTACTTTAAAAAAAAAAAAAAGGCTACAGTAGCGACGAGAGAGCCCTCGCCGCTGCTGCCGCCAACCCACCACCGCCGGGAAGGGCCGGGCCCGGCGGTGGTGGTGGGCGCAGTGGTCGGAGAGGGTCGCCGGCCCCTAGTTGGGGCCCGGCGACCCTCGCCGAGCCCAGCGAGGGCCGGATCCGACGAGGTCGGCCTCGCCTTCGCTAGGCGAGGCCAGACCTCGCCGTCGCCTGGGTCGCGACGGCGAAGTCTCACCTCGCCGGATCCGACCCTCGCCGACCACTGCACCCACCACCGCCGGCCCTTCCCGGCGATGGTGGGTTGGCGGCAGTAGCGGCGAGGGCTCCCTCGCCGCTGCTACAACCTTTTTATTATTATTATTATTTTTTTCTAAAAATTAAAAAATTCGAAAAAAAGCCACATAATTTTCACGTGTACAAGTCAGACCATTTTTTTTTAATATAAATATCAGGTCAGCTTTTTGGCCGGAGTCACTAAAGTGATCTATTTTCCTCCGACTTGGCACCAAAGTGATCCGAAAAAAAGTTATGGCACCAAAGTAATCGCCGTACACAAGTTTTGACACTTATAGTGTATTTTTACCCTTCGAAACATTTGCGCATCGCAACAACTTATAAAAAAAGAGAATCATGACGAAACGAATTTAGGTACGACGCATTACTGACAGTGGCTTGGTTCCTCGAGAGTCACAGAAGCCCTCGCCACGTCTCATTGGATCCCATCTATCGGTTACCCTCCCGATGTAATACTGATCCGCACTCGAATTTTCCTATCTCCTTCCCGCGCAATGCCAACGAACACCCTGCCCTACAAAAGCCATTGAGATACAGAACAAAAGTGTGTTGGGATTAGGTGACCAGGTCACATCGCGCAACAATCGTGCCATGTATCAGACAAACTTATCGACAGCCGAAGGACCGGTTCGTTTATTACAAGAATTCTAGATCCGATTAATACAACACCAAAGCGGATTAGTTTAGTATTAAAACTTCCAAAAAAAAATTAAATTAGATGAAATACACATATGGTACAACATCGAAAGAGACAAATTTTGTAAGGGATGAGCCGTTTCCGGTCCGGTCCGGTCCAACCCAAGAACCGGGAACCGAAGCGGGAGGACCGGTTTCCAGTTTCTAGGACCGGGGATCGGACCGGCTAGTCTTGGGACCGTGGACCGGACCATCCAGTCCGGTCCGATCCGGTTCCAATGGGACTATTATTAAATATTATTTGTGAACCAGGAACCGATTGCTCAGTTCTTTCCTTTGTAGTTCTGATTTGATCCCATAACGCCATGGAAAAAATGAGAAAAATATATATAATATATGAAAAAATTGAACAATCAGTTCTAATGGGATCAATATTAAATATTTTTCATATATATATTAAATATTATATATATGAAAAAATTAGAAAATATATATTTATCGGTCCGGTCCGGTCCGGTTCCCACCCTAGAACTGGGAACCAGACTGCTCGGAAACCGGTTCCACTTTTAGGAACCGAGAATCGGACCAATATTCCTGAGTACCAGACCAAACTGGTCGGTCCAGTCCGGTCCCAACTTGGGCGGTCCATCTTGCTCACTCCTAAAATGTTGCAATTAGAACGATGAATGAAAAGATAAGGTAGGACTCAATAAAAGGGTCGTCACCGGTTACTACCTCTCCAAGATATTTCCCTCCACATTGGTTTTATAATTCCATATATATAAATTATTTTAAGCCGTTAATGTTTAATTAATCCTTCCTGTTTTATAAAATTTTGTAATATTTAATGTATTGTCTTCGTAATAACAGTTAGAAGAGAACATGCATGAGAGAGGAAAATACTAAATTCGTCGTGACGTTTGCCATTGTTTAATGTAACCGACCACAAGGTATATAATAATTAGTCTCGGGCTGAATATAAGATATGCAAATTTGAATTTTAATGATGATTAATTTTAATTAATGGTATATAGGAAAGGCTGAATTTGAACATTCTCTTGTTTAACTAACGCTTATACCTTATACCCATTGTTCTTCCAAAGTTCAACGCCCCAAAGAAATCTTAACCATCTCATTAAATGATTCAATGCTTACTATTTGAAAAGGACCTTATAATATCTAATTGCCGTATTTCGATCTACCCTCTTGCGATATACGGCACGTGTGAAATTCAAAATCATATCGTTTGAAGTGTAGCTTGACTCATCGGTCACCAGAAAAACCTTGATGTCGAGTTTTGACGATGGGTACAAAAAGTTGATACCATCTTACATGACCTGCTTCACCTAACACGAGAACATGCTCTTATATGGCACGAGATGAGCCAGATGGAGGTCAAGAAAATTGAATCGATCTCGATACGCACACGAACGTGACATCGATTCAATTACGCACATTTGAAACCCGTTTCTCCGTCAACGAGTATAGGGATGCAAAAACGGCATGAATCTTACGGCGCAACATGATCTTGGCACGACATGTCGGGAATGTCTGCTTACGCGGCGTGGCCGACACCAATGATTGGACGACACGCGTATGGTCGGAACTGGGAATGCATTGGACGCACGCGAGGCGAACACGAACAAAGCCACGTGGGCCCACAACGTCCAATGTCCGAGCATGAGAAACTTCCCAACGACCCCACGTGTCATCTCCTCATTGGCCGGGTGGGGGGGGAGGTGCTCTTTCAACTGCCGACACCGGCAGTTTTGACCGGCGGTTGGAAACGAGTGATGGGAGACGGAGGAAGCTTCGCAAGCACCAATCGCACAAGAGGGTACAACCAAATTCCGAGTTTTGCCATCATCAATTGCACGTGTAAAGTAAGTTTTTATCTCGCGTTGATTTCAAATCAAAGATTAAATTGATGATTACAATACAATTACGGCTCTTCGATGCTAGGGTATATGCCTTCCTTGTCGGCGTGCCGCTGCCGTCACGAGTCGAACTTACGAACACGCGTAACACGCATGGTAATTATGTCAATAACATACGTGCGCGGTTTTGATAAGAAGCATTCGAAGGATTTGTTTGAGCGCGTGTAATAAAAAAGATAATTAAATTCTCAAAATATTTACCAATACATATCGCGAAAATTTGGAAAAACCATTCTTTATTAGATTACCAACTATATTTGGCCATTGCAAGTGCCTAATTAGTTCAGAAAATTAAATGCAAATTGAGAGTGCGGTTAGTTTCGTGGAGGATAAATGATGTGAAAAAGTATTTTCTTAAAAACGATTACTTGTATCGTTTATACATAAGTTGTTATCGATAACGAAAATACTTTTTACTGACTAATAATTTCAAGCGACGCGAGCGGTCATTTTGAAGAAAATATTTTTCGAATTATTCATTTTTCGCGATCAAACGGAACCTAAGTTGGTGATTAATAATCCCAATAACTAGTAGAAGGAGAATTCGAACTCGATTCGCTTTATCAAATAGATCAAGCAATCCCCATCGTCAAATGGCTATGATGGACAACAGGGCTATTCCTCTTTTCTTGCACCCGCTTGAACAGAAACTAAACAGAAGCCATGGAAACCTTGAGGCTTGACGGGCACGAATTCAAGACAAGAGGAGTACGAGAATTGCACGCCTAGTTTGACGTCAACACCGAAACCTTAAACCCAACGGCAATCTTGACCCAGAGACCCTCTTTCACCAAAACAGGGAAAGAAGAGATGGGACTTTCCGTATCAGAACCGCCATAACATGGAAAGTTTTAACTGGTGTCGACATTTTGAATCATGAAATGCCAAGTACAGTGGACTCTGCACGTTTTGTCAACCCTGGAGAGGCGCCTCAAAGCTGAGTGACCCAAGAACCATCAGCGAATATTCGATGTTATGGATTGAATAATGAATTTCTTGGTGGGTCTGTCTCCGGTTGCCGTTTATAAGAGATTTTTTGGTTTTTAGCTCTCTCACCATTCATTTTCCTTTTCATTTTCCATTACAGTGCGACCCTTCTGGTCTCGCCTCGCTTCCTCCTCTTCGTCTTCTTCTTCTTCTTCTTCTTCTTCAATATCCTCCTCTTCCTCCGGTTCTTGTTCATACACGGGTCAGATCTCTTCTATCTTATCATAAAGGTATGCCTTTTTCTCTTTTTATTTTGCTACCTTTGTCCTGGAAAATTTCTTGGGGAGTTCCAAAAGTTTCATTTTTTTATAGGTTTTGGTTTCTGGGTATGGCGTTTTTGTTCGAATTTTTTTCGCTTTTTTTATGTGGGTTTGCTCTTCTTGTTGCGTAATTTTGCTGGCACGTTACTGGTTTATGTTCTGTGTGTTATGGTTTTTCAAAATTCGAAGATTCTTTCTTGGCTGGGGAAAGCTTGAATATTTTTCTCTTCTTTTGAATTAAAGTTCTTTTTGGGCATCGTTCAGTCCGACATCGAATTTGGTCCGATTGTTTCATTCTCTTATATTGAGCCGTCTTTTGTAACTTGTGGATGTTCAAGAGACCAACTATGTGCCGCAATGGATACTTTGCATTACCGTAACTTTGAACTGTTTCCCAGAGGTTCTCTAGGAAATTATGATCAATGTCATGTCTAATATTTTGTATTGCTCTCATGTTGTAATGTCCCGCGTTCTTCAGGCAATATGGCACATTCTCTCCCAATTTATACCTGCTCACCTTTTGTGGAGTTCTTATCTGAATATTTGCAAACTGCTTCACTTGATTCTTGGTTCAGTAGTGGTTGCAGCTCTTGGATGTTGCATATCTCATGGGTATTGGGTTACTTTAATGGCGTTCAAGCTATTTACAGTCAGAGTCATGCTCTTTTCAGCGTCATGTTTTGCGTCTTTATATCTTATGTTCTTTTTTGGCGACAATGGCTGCATCCTCGTCTACCTTTTTTTTGTTGCAGGATATATTTCTAGCATATTGCAGGAGATTAAGCTTAGCTCTCCACTGTCCCCTCAAGAAACTCAATTCTGCAGTGTGCTTCCCTTCTTCAGTATTCTCTAGGAAATCACCACAACCTGGGAATGCTGAAAGATGTGCTTGAAAGTTGAGAATCCTTTTCTGAAGGTTGATGGGGCTTTAACTCTATGTGGAGAGCCCTTGATTATCTTGGATGAGGTTGGGGAGTTAGTTGATAAATCAGCCATCATAGTTTCTCATATGCCCTGGGTAAAGTGTAACTTGGGAGAACATGCTATGTTGAAGTATGATGTCTGTGAAGATGGTTGAGCATTTATGATTTGCTTCTAATTTCTGTACATATCAGTAGCTGGTTATATTGTACAAAGTTTTCATAAAAGCAAGTGTAGTACTCAGTTGAAATGGACAACAGAGGGGGTGTTCTGATGCACCGATATGAAGTGGGAAGATTACTTGGGCAAGGGACATTTGCCAAGGTTTATTATGCGAGGAATATCAGCACGGGCATGAGCGTTGCCATCAAGATGATCGACAAAGAGAAGGTTTTGAAAGTTGGAATGATTGATCAGATTAAGCGAGAGATTTCGGTCATGAGACTAATTAGGCACCCGCATGTGGTGGAGCTTTATGAAGTCATGGCCACCAAGACCAAGATTTACTTTGTCATGGAATATGCTAAAGGCGGCGAGCTATTCAACAAGGTAGCCAAAGGGAAACTGAAGGAGGACATTGCACGGAGATACTTTCAACAGCTGATTGCTGCTGTTGATTATTGTCACAGCCGAGGTGTTTGTCACCGTGACTTGAAACCGGAGAATCTGCTCTTAGATGAGAATGAGAATCTGAAGGTTTCCGACTTTGGGTTGAGCGCCCTTGCAGAATCAAAGCGTCAAGATGGGTTGCTCCACACAACTTGTGGGACCCCTGCTTATGTTGCTCCAGAAGTGATCAATCGAAGGGGTTATGATGGATCCAAAGCTGATATTTGGTCATGTGGCGTGATCTTGTTTGTTCTATTAGCTGGCTACCTTCCCTTTCATGACTCTAATCTCATGGAGATGTATCGAAAGATTGGAAAGGGAGAATTCAAATTTCCAAACTGGTTTGCACCGGATGTGCGTCGACTCCTTTCAAAGATCTTAGATCCGAACCCAAACATGAGAATTTCAATGAACAAGATTATGGAGAGTTCTTGGTTTCGGAAAGGTCTAGACTCCAGAACCATATGTATCATAAGAGAAGTGAAAGAACCGCCGCCTCTTGATGCTGATGCATTATTCGGTCCTGATGAGGGTGAAAATACCACTGCAGAGTCAAAGCACGAACCTTCGAGCCTTAGCAACTTGAATGCTTTTGATATTATATCATATTCTGCAGGATTTGACTTGTCTGGATTGTTCGAGGGAGTGGATCAAAGAAAGGAAGTTCGGTTCACGGTGAATAAACCTGCTTCTGCTATAATCTCGAAGCTCGAGGATATAGCCAAGCGCCTGAGGCTGAAGGTTAAGAAGAAGGATGCCGGACTGATGAAATTTGAAGGTGCTAAGGCTGGAAGAAAGGGTGTCCTCGGTTTCGATGCTGAAATCTTTGAGATTACTCCGGCTTTCTATTTGGTGGAGATGAAGAAGTCAAGTGGGGACACAATGGAGTATCAGAAGGTACTGAAGGAGGAAATAAGACCGGCCCTCAAGGACATTGTCTGGACCTGGCAAGGAGAGCAACCGCCGCCGCCGCCGCCGCCGCCGCCGCTGCCGCCCCCACCCCCTCCACTGCCGCACCAGCAGCTTTTGGAAAAAGAAGAATCACATCCTTCTCATGATTCAACTTTGCCTTCGTCATCAAATTAACAATGAGTAGTCTCTAGCTTCGTGGTCTTTTACCTTTGTTATCAAATATTGTTGCTATTGTTCAAGTGGTCTGGAAGTACATATAATGGTGTACTTAGTGAGACTTAAAGAAGTTGACTTTACTTAATTGTGTTGCATCTTTTTGTACTTTGATTTTCAACAATCTGTCTGGTGTTTTGCGTCCTTAGATTGTGTTGGTCATGGGCAATGGGTACTCATAATTCCCTTTCCCCCCTTTTTGGGTCAGCGGCACCTCTAGTTAGGACTTTTGAATAGCGGGTCATATACTTCTCCAGAAAAAACAGCACTCTAGACAGTCTCTAGTGAAAAGTATCTCGTGTATGTGATACCATGTCTCATGCTAACATAAATCACTATTCTAATCATGCTTCTTCACTTTGATAATATGATAACAAGGAGTTTTTCAATCTTTGAATTCTGGATAAGCATGATTGGCTCTGTAATACCAAGTCCATATGATGAGTGTATCAACAACGAACTTTGTCCTCTCTGTATGTCATACATTCCCCTCTGTCTTATATTGCAAGTTCTATCACCTACTCGCTGAGCTAACATAAGGTCAAGTTATAAATATTAGGAACATGGTTCCTCAATGTACCACCAATTATCAAAAGTTCTAATTTCACTTGATTTATATTTTTCTGCTAGTTTCAATATGCTATTCATCGCATTTCAAATCCACTAGGACCAGAGTCCGATTCAGTCTCTCTGAAGTATTAGTATGATCTTCCGATTCATTCAACTGCTTGATAATACGGTACATGTTTGTCTCCTGATTTGTGGAGTTCCCCATTGGAATCCCAATCTTTGTATTTTTCCCTGTTTGTGCCTCTGAAGTGGAAATCACCTTTTTATTAGCTAATTTGCTTGTCATTAATACTGGGAGTGGCATGCACCTTTCGTTCTCTTCGGGCGAAATTGCATCTTTGCCGTTCTAAAGTCCCCCATTGCAACAGCATATGTAGCTTCTGTTATTCTTGACAATGAGGCTTGACATTAGCTCATCAACTTAACATGATCTTTGGTGTGGATATTATTTATCATCTGATGATTTGATTTTGTTCCAGAGTTCTGCCTTTCAATTGAGTCTCCTATTGCAAGTAATGGAGCTGTTAGGGTAGTTTCACCTCTTGAACTTTGTCGTAACAAATCCACTTTGAAGTCCACTGATGTTGCCAAATGTGTCTCAATCCTATTGCTCGGTAATAAGCTCGGTCCAGCTCATATAACATAAGCTATATCTATTCTCTATGCAAAAAAATGAGCATTTTGCAGTTGTTCTTGAATTGCAGATGCTTATCTAACATGTGATTAAAGTGCTATTGTGCCTTGCCTGTCAGAGCAATTTATTGTGAAATCATGAGCACATTACTGGAAATTCATAGAATTCTTTGGCCATACCTGAGATGACCGGTCGGTTCATGAAATCTTGCCTCATCTTACTGCAACTGCATACATCCTAGACAGCAGTAGATGCTTAGAGAGTGTCACTAAGTACATCCTAGACAGCAGTAGATGCTTAGAGAGTGTCACTAAGTGGTGACCTTTTTGCTTGCTTTAGAATGGGACATGCTGGTTTCATCTCTTCACTCAGGGCCATAATCTTTCTTCCATGCACGACTTCGGCAATAGCTCCACTCTCTGAATTCGTGCGAAAGACTTTTAAGTGTTACTAGCTATGTACTTATAAAGATCTTTAGGTGTTCGATAATGTCTCACTGGTCTGCTGGCTAGACCTACGCTTTACTAATATCCACGCTTCAAGGATGGGATGTACCCGAATTGGATAACAAAATTAGAAAGAAGGTAAATTACAAAAGCTAAAATGCCAAAGAGAGAAACGAGTGACCTCCATGTGCATTGCTTGGGACCACTTCATGCCTCTTGCTAGTTGCTACCATTATAATGTCGGCAACCATCCCGGTGGTCGCCTGTTGGTTGCAGCTCATACGACCATCGTTGTGATGGTCACCTGAGCGCCCGTGCTCTCTCTCTCTGAGAATCTGTTCTTTGTCGTAGTGGTCGACCACTGCAACGGAGATAGTTTTTTAGTCCAATGTCAAGTGAAATTTGTGCACACGGCAAAATCTAACTAGATTTTTATGGGAAAACCATGAGGACAATGAGATTTGTTGTTACAAAAATAGAGTTATATATGTCAAATCAAAATAGACATCGGCTATTTCCACCATAGCTCACGTGATAAACATAATCACTTGCAGTCCAGAAGAAAATTGCAGTTTCTCGAGTTATGAATGTAAGTTTGTGCGCTAGACGAATCTCGATACAGGTAGACAAATATTCACCTAGAGCCAACAACATGTGACTCGTCGGGAAAAAATATTAGGAATGTCACAACTTTCTTACACCATACAGCTTTGTTCTCAAAAGTTTTTGACCCGCTCACTTTAAGTTATGAAGCTTTTAAGAGCATCGTTTTAGATGAGCCCGTGCCATGCAGCTAGCAGTCTATCGACTTCGCAAAGCCAAATTATAAGTATGATATTCCTTAACAACTGGTAAAATGAGCAGTGTCTGCGTGTCCTTATTGCAGTCACACGATTTTTCTCGTTCGAAAATCTCCACGTCCAAATGAGACACCAACTGCTCTGAGTCATTCCGGAAATGTTCGAGAAAAGTGTCAAAAAAGTCTTGAACCTTTTGCATCGGTGCAAATTTAGTCCTCAACTTTTTTTTTTATGCCAATTCAGTCCTAAACCTTTTGTATTTATGCCAATTTAGTCCTAAACCTTTTTTTGGTGCCAATTCAGTCCTAAACCTTTTACATTAATGCTAATTTAGTCTTAAACATTTTGCATTTGTGCCAATTCAGTCCTAAACTTTTTGCATTTGTGTCAATTTAGTCCAAAACCATTTTTTGGTGCCAATTCAGTCCTAAACCTTTTGCATTGGTACCAATTCAGTTCTTCGACACATGAATAGCTATTAGCCGGAATGACTGAACTGGCACCAATGCAAAAGGTTTAGGACTGAATTGGCACCAATGCAAAAAGTTTATAACTGAATTGGCACCAAAAAAGGGTTTATGAATAAATTGGCACCAATGCAAAAGGTTTAGGACTGAATTGGCACCAAAAAAAGGTTTAAGACTAAATTGACACCAATGCAAAAGGTTTATGACTTTTTTGACACTTTTCTCGTCGATTTAGGGTTTTCAATTTGGAAATTTCCTTGCAAATTGCGATTTATGGTTTATATTTTGAGGCAAAACACATAGTCGATGCCGTTTTGGGCTATCTATGCTTACTAGGCTTGCCCGCAAGCCATGCCGGACGGAGAAATTAATAAAAAAGGCATTGTGTTCACTGGACTTAGATTTTTGTGGGTTAATCGTTAACCTTGTCGAAGGAAATATTGCCTTGTGTTTTGTGAGAATAGATGGATGGGCTTGGGTCGAATTCAGCAGATACTCCTATGAATCCTCATGCATGAGCTAGTTTTCAGATCACCCATTACAGATCACTTGTCGAATTGAACTACTGTATTGCTCACCTTGGTGTAACCTTTGGAGTAAGGTAATGTCAATCAGTTCCATGATCCACCATGCCAGAGCCAATGGCATGCAATAATTCGTTATCCCAGATACACTAAGGTGCTTCGGGTGAAAATTTGTTGTGCTGGGATCATGAACTTGGAATAATTCGACTTCTTGATCGCATGTAAATCCGAAGATTAACTTGCCGAACTTATGATGATGGCGATTCTTGGCCGCATCATCCCACAAAGATCGGGAATTATGAGAACATGCACTCCAAGCTCCTGGTTCCTGGAGCACGCCCGATAAATACTACGGGTGAGAAATGGACTGATCAAATCGGAAATCGCTTGGACTGGACCAAACTGGCCAATTCCGGGCGGTTCCAAGGGGCACCAATCCAGTTCCCGGTTCCATGTGTGGACCCGTCCACCCGGACCGGACCAACTATTTTTTTTATTTATATTCTTGAAAATCTGTAAAAACTAAATAAAAAATAAAAACCCGTCAAGCCTCAAGTACTCTCTTGCATGCAGCCTGAGTTGCTCCCTTTCTCAAATCTAAACAAAATCATAATCTGTGTAGCCCTCTCATTGTGTCGCTCGCCTCGCCTCCCTCTAGCTCGACTGTCACGACTCAACTCCCTCTCTTGCTCTGCTTTTGGCTGAGGTAAATGCTCTGTTTTTTTTTTTTCTGTTCTTTATGCACCATTTCGAATTTTTTTATCACGTTTTCGAAATCTTTTGCTGTTCTTTGTCTCGCATCCCATCGACTCTCACTCTGTTATTTTGCGGCTTTGTCGGATGCCTACCTCAACAGTCTTCGTTTGTCTCATTGATGCCTTGTTACTCAGTTCTTTTTGTGAAAGATTAAGGGGTCCATCATGAGTCACTTGGCCATTTCCTGAGAGATCTGCCCATCTGTTTTCGTTTTCTTCCCTTCCTTTGCCTTATTTTATTATTGAAAAAAAAACAAACAAACAAAATTCTTGGCTCGCCCGGGAACCCAGTTCGGTTTCGGTTCTTGGGCGATAATCAAACCGCCCAGGAACCGATCACCCCTAATAAACATAGACACCATTGAGGTGCTTGGCCTAGTGGTGAAATGATAAACTTTTTTTTGTAAGGCCACGAGTTCAATTCAGATCCCGAACGAATTGAACATCTCGCGACATCGACGGCTAATGTCTCTCCCACCTGTTTTACTCTTGTAAGAAAGAAAATGAGTTTAGCAAGAACATTGGTAGGTAAACCCTGCAATTCGAGGAAAATTCAAGGAGCAACACCTTACCCTTTTTATTTGGATAAATGACACAAATGATCCATCAACTTTGGCTGAATATACAATGATGTGCAATATCATTCATAAACTTTTAATTTGTTCAATGTGATCCCTATACTTTTAGTACATGTTCAATTTAGTCCCTACACTGTATGAAAATATTCAATGTTGTCCCTAAATTTGAATTAATGGATGAACAACATTGAACTAAATTGAACATGTACCAAAAGTCTAGAGATCACATTGAACGAATTAAAAGTTCATGAATATATTACACATTAGGCTAAAGTTCAGGAACCACATTGAACAAATTTAAAGTTCAGGATCATGTTGTACATTCGACTAAAGTACAAAAATCATTTGTATCATTATCTTTTTTTTTTATTTCGGTAACCACAAAGTAGCCTTTTTTTTCTTCTGTTTCTTCTTATGGCAGGAGAGCGAGCACGACTGCATCTCCCCCGAAAAAGGGGGGACGACGAAAATGGAGCGGAGCATAGCAAATTAGCATTTAGGGAGGTCTAGCCCCCACCAAACCCAGACGTGGACGTGGTGAAACGTGAGCACATTCAGTCGGTCGCGTGTAGTATATATATATATGGGTACGTGAATGCCAACAAGCTCACGGAATTAGCAGAAAGCGAGTTGCAGAAACAGGGGTGGGGAGGCGGCTTGGAGTGAGAATGGTCGGTGTCGACGACGTTGCCATGCCAAGAAGAGAAGCGGAAGTAGGAGATGGAGATGGAGGTGGAGGAGATGGAGACAGCGTGAGGGTGTGCGGGATGCAATTCGCGTACGAGGGGCAACCCCCGCTCTTCCTCGACTTCAACCTCTCTGTGTCTCCTGGATCTCGTTGCCTCCTCCTCGGCGCCAATGGATCAGGTTCGTTCCTTGTCGTGACTGACACCCCTTTTTAGTCCCTAGTTCTTGGGCAGCTTTTAGTTTGATACATACCGTTGTTGCTGCATTCCATTTGTGATCTGATAGTTAGGTTTGGTCTTGGTGACTCTGTTTCATTGGTTCTGTGGAATTCTGTTATCTGGGTATATGCCAATTTTGCTTATATAGAGATGGTTTTGCAGAATTAAAACGGTTTTAGCTTCCTTCCTCCATGATCATTCGAGGGTTGTGGAATTACGTTGGGTTGGATCCTAACTTCTATTTGGTAGTATTTATGGTGGAAGATCGGTGACTCTTTGATGCTGAATCGAAGGATCTTGTTCTAAGAAGTTGCTTGCCTCATCAGTGCTAGGCTTACTTTACAATTAGATTGACCGCGTTTTCTTTAGAAGTCGTGTTGTCTTTCTTGGGTCTGTGAATTCACCATTCATTTTACATAATTTTTTGCAGGCAAGACCACTTTACTGAAAATTCTCGCGGGTAAGCACATGGTCGGAGGTCAGAACGTAGTCCGTGTGCTGAATCGCTCTGCTTTTCACGATACTCAATTGGTCTGCAGTGGTGACTTGGCCTATTTGGGAGGATCTTGGAGTAAAACCGTTGGCTCTGCTGTGAGTTCCCTGGCCCTTTTACGTAATGTGGTGCTTTTAACTTTTAGTAATTGGGAAAGAATTTATTAGCATTGGCGTGTGTATAATTCATGAGATCTATAGGATAGATGACGTTGTTATGTGATCCCAAGGGACAAGAATTAGGTTCTCGGCTTTGTCTTGTTGGCTGTTGTAGATATGTTTGGAGACCGGCATTTGAAATAATTTCACTGTCTTCTCGATTTCACAATATATTTACGTCAATCTTTCTGTCATATTGTAATTTAATGATAGATTTTAGGAAATCCTCAAGTACAAATGAAAAATTGAGAACTATACCTCAGAAAGCTTCAGATAAACTTCGATTTTTTTTTTGGGGGAGAGATTCTGTCGTTTAATGGCAGCGCTATCTTGCCTCTTTGTGACGCTTCTACTTCTTATATGAATGATGAAGTGAGGCTCCATGCTTAAAGCGCTATCTTGGCAAAAAGAATTCATAAAGCCAACCCATTTAGTGGAATATGGCTTAGTTTGTTATTTGTTGTCTTATTGTAATGCTCCATGCCACTTGCTACCTTAATCTGATCAAAGAAACCTTATTGTGTTTTGCTCCAGTAATGGTAGGTTGTACGCTTATGCACGACCTTTTGACTCATCTAATATCTCAGGTTGTGAGAGTTCCAACTTGTGAAAATTAAATCTTGAGGAAAATCTCGATATTTCTGGGATTATGCCATCGTTAGCTCTACAATTGACTGAGTCTGGAAAGAACTTCCTTTTGCTTGCTCGACTCTTTTTAACTTTGCTTCCTTTGTTTCTGACTTTCTCTGTTAAGTTTCACTGCCAAGAGCTTCGTATAGTTTGTTTGCAAATGTTAAGAAACACTTGAATATTTTGCCATAGTTTCTAAGTGTGGGGCAGCGATTGTCTTGGTTGTTTAGGTTTCGTTGATAACATGCTGTACGTCAGTTTTGTAGCTTGTATAAAGAAAGTTTCTTCTAAAATTTTCAGGGAGAAATTCCACTACAGGGAGACTTCTCCGCAGAACATATGATATTTGGAGGTCAGTTTGGAAAAATAGTCTGCTTGTATGTTTCGATTTCCCTCTATGCAATTCTGGAATTGTAAGGAATCCCAATTGGTAAATGGACAACTCTGAGCAGCATTTGTCCTCTGAGAGATGGAAAGAGAGAAGAGGTTGGGCATTTGTTTGAGGGATGGGGGGGCGGCGGGCGCGGATAGGAGGGGGGCAGAGAAAGGAAGGTCTACTTTTGTTTTACTATTATTACTTGTCTCTTTGATTACTCCACTCGTTATGACAACTGTTCTTCTTTTCTGTCATGTTATTGGCATTTCGATCTGCACAGCATTTCACAACCTACTGGAAATGCCTTTCCTGCTTAAGTTACAAATCTGAATTTTTCAAGTGTATGATAATGGCAGTTGAAGGGGCTGATCCGGTGAGGAGAGAAAAGTTGATTGAGCTGCTTGATATCGATCTGCAATGGAGAATGCACAAGGTTTCAGATGGGCAGCGTCGGCGTGTCCAGATTTGCATGGGTCTTCTTCATCCATTTCAGGTACTGAATTCATGCTAAGGGCATATAGTTGATTAGGATGTGGGTGTCATCAAAACGAAAATAAATGAGCAATTTAAGATTGAAAAGACTCTTCATCCATTTAATGGATATTTATTGGAAGTCTTTGGGACCTAAAATCTCCTAAGCACTGTCTTTTAATGGTATTGGTTGTGTCACGACTCTGTTCCGGTGATGACCATATTTGGCTGATGAATGTTTGAAAGTAGTGCAATTGCATTTAAGTGGGTTTGCAGATTCAAGATTCTAGTTAAAACTTCAGATGTCAAATGTGATTCGCATCTGTGTTGGGCATCCATTTTTTGGGGAGTGGTAATTCCATTTGTTAAGATGATCGTTCATGGAGAGTTGGCTGGTTTAGACCTGTTTTGTTGAATGGCTCGATGGCCTGTCCAGGTCCAGTTTCTTGATATTTGAGCATTCTTTGATCATTGACTCGAAAGCTTTACCTCGGATCTTCATTATCTTCACAATGCTAACTTGCAAGATGGGAATTGGCCACATAAGTGGCTATCCATTATCTCTGCTAAGAGTGTCAATCTGACAAATGTATTCATTTCTTCATCTGATCTGACGCTTGACATATGTGCAGGTTCTTCTACTTGATGAGATTACAGTTGATCTGGATGTTGTCACTCGGATGGATTTCCTTGATTTCTTGAGGGAAGAGTGTGATCAGGTAATTGCATGCTTTTTTTCCTGCCATGGGTTTAGCTAGTAACTTCATTAATTAGGACTTGGGAGGCTGAGATCTACTATGTGCACCCTTGAGGAGACTGATAACCAATTATCTTTTGTCGACTGATAACCAATTATCTTTTGTCTCCACTAGCTCCACTTTTCCTCGAAGTCCATGACCACCCTCATGTTTTGACAAACAAATCTGGTCCCAGCTAACTTTTGCCCCTCCTCGAGCTTCAGAATCCCCTTTCCAAAAAATGCTCTACATGTTGTTTCAACTGCATGTATAACTTTAATAGCAAAAAAAAAATAAAAAATTGGTACCAATAGTTTTTTTTTTTTTGGTCAAAAGCACCAATAGTTGATGAGGCTACATATAACAGCTTTGATCAACTGATGCCTGCCCACATAAGAGAGTTTGTTAGATGTCCAGATATTTAATCTAGCCGTAACCTCGTTGATAAGAGGTTTGCAATCTCTATCAGAGTCTTCCAGAGATAAGAGGCACCCCAAGATACTTAACAGGAAGTTTTCCTCTCTCGAAACCACAAATATGTAAATATCTCAGCCACCTGCTTCTCTGCATAACTTGCTACAGACACCTCAGTCTTGGCTGGACTAACTTTGAGACCACAAATTGCCCTGAAGCAGTTTATAATGTTTGATGTTGATAATATCTTTTAGAGAATCAGCATCACCCTTGAAAAACGCCATAAAATCAGCAGCAAAACATAAATGAGTTAGTTGGACTCTTGAACACGAAGGGTGGTACTTGACAAACCCAGCTCTGGTTGCAGCAATTGTAGGCTAGAAAGCACCTCCATCACATGCACAAAGAGATGGAGATAGGGGATCTCGTTGCCTTAAACCCCTTCTCATGGAAATTAACCTTCAAGAATATTGATAGAAAAGGATGGAATTGTAAGCAAACTTTAATCCATTCCAAAAACATAGTAGGAACACCAATAGAGATTAGAGTAGTCAACACAGAATCCCAGTCTATGGAGTCAAATACCTTCGTATCAGCTTTACCACACATCTAGGGAATTGCGAACCCTATGGTAATTCTTCACCAATTCATGAGCTAATAGCACATTATCCCTGATTTTTCTCCCTTCCGCAAAAGCTGACTGATTCAATCTGATGAAATGAGGCAGTATCTTCTTGAGTCTATTGGCTAATATCTTTGTGATGCATTTATTCACATGATTAGGCCTAAACTCAGACATCCTGGCTGCATTTGATGTTTTTGGCACAAGGTTTATAACAGTAGCCTTAACCCTCTTTGACAATTTAAACGAATGAAAGAAATTAGACAGCTGCACCGAACTCATCACCAATAACAGGTCACGCACTAGTGAAGAAATGTGCACAAAATCCATTTGGACCAGGTGCCTTGTCCAAATTCTGTAATCTCCTAAGAGGTGATAGGCAGAATAAGATTTTCCTGTGAAGCAGTTGGCAGCTTATACTGCAACATAAAATACGAATTAGCAAGTGAGAACTGGAACAACAGAGTCAATAGTGCCTAATAAACCTTTATTAAAGGATACTACTTCATTTGGTATTCGATATTGCCCTTCAATCCTTGTGCCATCTGCAGAATACAGAACACTAAGAGTGTACTTAGAGGTTCTGACTTTAACAGATCTATGAAAATAGCTAGAATTTTGATTTCCTAACTTTAGCAATGTTATCCTTGACTTTTGTCGAAGATAAGACTCCTCATAATCCTATATTTCCAGAGCTTTGCTCGAAGAGAAAATTCCTCATGCAAAAAATATCCTGCTGAAGAGACAATTCTGCTTTACACTGCGGAACCTGCTGAGGAATTGAGTTGATATGGTCCTTGTATTACCCTTTTAATTTTTTTTCATCTGAATGCTTCTGATAGAAACTGAACGTAGGAACTCCCTCTTTATCATAACACCAGGCCTTCTGGACAACCTTTAAAAATAGAGGATGCTTGCTCCAAAAGCTAAAATATTTTAAAGGCTTAGGATGAGCCATATCAGCACCTTTCATTCCGACCAAACTATAGCAGTGATCGGAGCAAGCCGCTGGAACAAATTCAGCATAAGAGTGAGGAAAAGTGGTTAACCAAGCATCATTTGCCAGAACTCTATCAAGTTTTCTTTCCACAAAATCAAATTCTCCTATTGGTCGAAGTAAAAAAGGAACCAATATACTTGAGATCAAATAACTCAGATGTTAGCAGAGCAGCATTGAAATCATCCATATCCGAGACATGAGTAGAATCAGAGTTGCTTGCTTCAGAAAAATCTTTGTTGTATTAACATCCCCAAGAACACCCAGGGTAAGGGAGCACCATGGGGTAAAGCAGACATTCTCCCATAATGACTTCCTTTCAAATACTTCATTTAAAGCATACACAAAACTGGCTGAAAAAACATCTTCCTGAAGAAGAATGGAGCTGTGCATAAACTGGGAACAAGCAAAAATAAGTGGAACCTGGATAAGCATTTGAAGAATTGAAATTCTGCCAAGGCGATGGAAAGAATAGTTTGTAATTTTCCCAATTGGGGAAAACTGATGCCACAATACGATCAACATTCAATTCCTGAACTTCAGTTCGGAAGAGTCAAAACAAAAGTACGTTATGCTACATAACTAGAGACTTAACCTCCTTTTTTCTACAAGGCTTATTAAAGCCTCGAATATTCCATGAAAAGAAACTCATTGAATTAAAGAAGTGCTGGAAGCAATAGCAAACTTCTTCTAGTCAGGAGAGAGATTCCGAGATCCCTTTCTACCTCTTTGTAGCTGTATTATATTCATCAAAATTGCTGATGAATTTTTTTCGAAGGTTTGGTTCTTATAGGAGAAATACGTCACTAAGGCTTATCAACTTTTGTGGAAGATCTGTTAGCTGCAATAGCATCCATGGTGTCAACAATGGGATCATCTGTCAGATCAGGCATGTCAGCCAGTTCATCGTCTGAAATTTGCCTCATCAGACAAAACCTGAAACTTGCTGTCTCCACTTCCAAAGTCGCCATTTTCAAAATAGAGCCAATGATGTCCTCAACCTTCTTAGATATAACATCGACTGCTTTAGAAGAGTGATTTGCTTCAAGCACTGTCCTTTTTCTCAGGCACCCAATGCTTCACCACTGACTTCTTACGATTACAAGATTCAAACTGTTGACCAAATTTACTACATTTATAACATCTAAACTTCCAATGATACTAACACAGAGATAGTAACAGACTGAGCATTTGCTTGCTTATAAAAGTATGGTTTGAAGTCACCAAAATAGATAAGCTTGCTAACTATATACTTTTTATTGCATTTGCATCTGAGTGTGTTGTGAGTCAAACATTTGGGGTGTTTCCTGACTTGTACTGCTGTTTTTTGTGCTCTTATCTCACCTTAACAATGTCATTTACAGAGAGGAGCTGCAATAGTATATGCTACACACATATTCGACGGGCTGGAGACTTGGGCGACTCATCTTGTTTACATCCAAGATGGTGAATTGAGAAGGGTGGAGAGATTGGCAGAGGTCGATGATTTGAAGAGCTCGGCTAATCTTCACTCAGTAGTCGAGGCTTGGTTGCGGTCAGAGACGAAGCGTGAGAAGAAGAAACCGGTGACTACTTTTTCCCAGCCCCAGAAAACATCTCTATCTGGTGCTTCTCCTTTTACATCGTCGAGACACATGGCTTATTATCGATGATTCCAGTGGTTAATATGAAGCAAGGATAGAAGAATGATCTTGCATTTATCATAAGGATATAGTTGCATATGTGATGAGAATGACATTGCATGTTGCGGAAAACTATAGTTGCACTCGCACCGTTTGGTGCGTGTTGTTGATGTTTGTATTGCCTTTTCTCCATGCCCGGGAAATTTCCTAGTTTTTTAAGGCATTTTTTTATATCATAGTCGCACAAGTTCATACAGGTTTGGGTGGGGCTGACAATTAGTTCTACATATAATAAGTATTGAGGCAAATTTAAGTCAGATTTGCGCAAGATGCTTTTATTAATCATGTCGTATTCTTGAATTCCAAGCACAACACATTTATTAAGTAGTTTGAGCGGCACAACGCGTTTAACATATAATCTCTTAAATGCCATCGCATGTTAATGTGTCTAAATGAATCTATGGGTGACCCATGTAATAAGTAAACTATTTAGTTAAACATGTCTAAATTTCCAAATTTTTACCGTTAATAAGTTTAATTGCAAAGAACAAATGGATAAAGAGAATCTATCTCAAATATGAGTCCTCCAACTATGATCTCATTCAATTTTTTTTCTCTCATTAATGTTAAATATGATAAAATGTATTACTATCCTTTCAAAACGTTTACCCCTTTCGACTTTTCTTTCTTATTGATTTGCCATGTGTATTCGCGAGGTTTGAGTATAAAATCTTTATCTTGCGAGATTCTACTAATCCTTGTTCTTGAGGATTTTTGGGAGAAGCTAACAATACACAGCAACATAAATTCCTTATTAATTAGTTGGATTGTATACAATTTCCATACAAAACGTTTTTTCCTACTATTGTTCTATAATATATGGGAAAATTGCACGATAAGTTCTAAACCTTATCTATAAAATGCAATACGAGTCTTAATCCTTTCCGTTGATTTCATCAACTTGTAAACCTTTATAAAAAAAAGTGTAGTCAAGCTTTTCAATTTGGTCCAGTTAAATCCTAAATCTTTACTAAAAAATGCATTTAAGTTTTTAAGATTATCTGGAAATATGGTTTTTAAGGATGCAACTAGGCAATTTACACGTGATATGGAGGCAATTTTGGATATTGTTCATTGAAAGGACTTGATTGCTCTTTAAAAAAATGGTTAATATAACGAAAAACCCTGAACTAGTACACCCATAATTATTTTACCCCAAACTATTTTTTTTATCACAAAAAATCCGAAACCGGTACACCTGTGATAAATTTACCCCAAACTAATATTTTGACCACTAAAAACCCCAAACCAGTACATTTGTGACAAATTTATCATACGTTAGTTTCCGTTAAATTAAATTAATACCACAAAAAATCATAAACTGGTACACTTGTGATAAATGGAGGGTAAAACATAAAACTGGTACATCAGTTAACTGTCGCATATCATTTAACAAAGCAATTTGATAGTAAAATTTAACGAAAATATACTAAGGGTAAATTTGTCACAAGTGTACCAGTTTGGGATTTTTTGTGGTCAAAAAATTAATTTGGGGTAAAATTATTACAGGGGTATCAATTTGGGATTTTCCGTGGTATTAACGCCTTAAAAAAAAGGTTTCGAACCTAATTTAATTAATTGAAGGGTTTATAACTTGATTGCGTTACATACACAAATCTTAAGACTTATGGTGCATTTAACTCATCATTTCTATTGTGAAGATACTTTAATTGACACGATATAGAAAGGGATGACAGGCTACAAGATTGGGAAATTATACCTGTATAGTACTTTCTCATAGAAACCTTGTATATATATAGTCTCTAATTATTCTAATTATTAATAGACACTTTGCATGGTAAGAATTCCGCTCCTCATTATGGAAACAATCAAGAGATGAATAAGGAAATCATCAATTAATCCAAGCAAGGCAACTATATCTCGAACACTCCCCCTAAAGATGGCAACTTATATATGTCAAATATGCCATGCTTGCTCAATAGATACTTGTGTTGCCTTTGACATAGAGACTTGGTAAAGACATCCGTAGGCTATTTTGTAGTTCCTATTTCTCTTGTCTTGATTATTCCTTCCTAAATTTTGTCTCTAGTGAAATGGCATTCAACTTTTATACATTGATCTGACAAAAAAAAAATCTTCTATATGCTGTGTTCTTTCGTGGACTATCGGGTTTGCTGCAAGTTTAAGAGCAGCATTATTGTCGCAACACAAGGTAGTCAGTCCTCTTACCCATATGCCAAGTTCGCGAAATAGACCCTCCATCCAAACTATTTCACAATCTTAGCCATAGCTTGTTATTTAGATTTAGCCTATGACAATGAAACAATTGATTGTTTATTCGTTTTCCATGAAAGCAAGCTCAACACAAAATCCAATAATAGATCTCCTGCTCATAGGACAAGTGGCATAGTCCATGTTACAATAAATCGTCATCTTCATATTACAATCCCGAGTTAGAAGCATTGTCAGTCTTGGGCATCCTTTCAAATACTTCACAGCTTTTAATGATGCATTCATATGGGAATGTTTTGGATCATGCATGAATTGACGGAGAATCTGCACTGTGTAACATATGTCATGTTTAGTCATTGTGAGATAAATGAGTTTTCCAACGAGTGTATGATAGCTCAATAGATCCTTGATCAATGGATCCTCGTCTAAAGGTGATAATCTCGCATCATACTCCATCGTCGTTAACTTAACATTATGCTCGATTAAAATAACAACTAGTTTGCATCCTAACAACCCTACTTTTGATATAATCTCCAAGACATTATATTGACTGAGGCAGCTTCCTTTATCTAATCGTGCAATCTCAATGCCAATAAAATCTTTTGGAGGCCCCAAATCCTAAATGTGAAAGGTAGAATTCCAATACTTTTTGAATTCTTTAATAACAGATTCATCATTGCCTATACTAAGTGTATCATCTCCATATATCAGCAAGTAGATTGAAGATGTACCTTGTGTTCAAGTGAACAAGGCATATTCATGTTTGGATTGCCTGAATCGTGCAGCTATGAGTGTAGTGGTGAATTTAACATACCACTATCGAGAAGCATGTTTAAGTCCATACATATATTTACAGAGATGATAACCCAAGACTCCCTCTGTTTGTGTAAACCTTTTGGAAGATCCATATAAATTTCCTCCTCCAAATCACCGTAGAGAAAGACATTGTGGTCACCCATATGGTGTAGGGGCTAATCATGAAAAGAGCGATGGAAAGAAAACAACGAATAGTGACTTCCTTGGCTATTAGGGAAAAAGTTTCTTCCCGCTGTTTGAAACCTTTGGCCACCAATCAAGCTTTGTAATGCTCAATGGAACCATCTACCTTGTTTTTAATGTTATATACTCATTTGCAATCAATGGGCTTATGATGGGAAGGTAAAGGTACGATCTCCCAAGTCTGATTTTCCAACAAAGCACGTAATTAAGCTTTTATACGTGTTGCCAACATGGATCCTTAGCTGCCTCATGGTAAGAAGAAGGTTTCTATTCTTCATAAATGCGACTAGCAAATGTGTTTTGGTGAAAGTCGGACGAAACTCCATAAGAGGATATAGGGATAAGGGGTACTTGAGGAATCCAAGGTAGGATAAATATAATCCTTAGTCCATGTGAGGGGATGAGAGGAACGGGTGTGGGTTGCACAGGAATAAGAGCAAGTGCCACGTTAGACGCAATGACTGGAGGAGCTGCCAACGGAGAAGCGACAAGAGCCTCACTATAGCTGGCATGAGCGAAGAGTCAGTGAAAGGCTAAATCAGAGGACTCGAATGTAATGGAGAATCTGGAGCATTCTCAATCAATGAAGAAGTAGCTATGGGCTCTAGAGGCGCAATTGTGACGAACGATGGAGGTGATGACGATTCCTCCTCAATCAAAGAAGGTCGGGAATTAGGTGTTGACCTGGCTTATTGAGGTGAAGACAGTTAGGCTGCGCATGACAACTTGCCAAACAGTGTTTGATTCTGTTCTTTTGTTTCCAGAATCAGTTTGGGAACAGAAATGTGTTTGTTTAATTTTTTGATTCTGGGCACAATTTTGTCAAAAATTGTTCCCGAATCGATTTTGGAAACGAAATTAATAATAAAAAAAAGTAGCTTCTTGATTAAGGAACAATTTTGAGAATCAATTTTTTTTTCTTCTTCCTTTTCTTGGTTTTTAATTTAGCTTCTAATGTTCGGCCCGAGGACCGCCCTCGCCGGATCTGACGAGAATAAAATATTTTAATAAAAAATATTATTAATAAAAAATATTTTACCGGCCATGGCCAGCGACCAGGCCATGGCCATAAAAAAGAAAAAAATATATTTTTAATAAAAATATTTTAATAAAAAATATTATTAATAAAAAAAATATTTTACCTGCCATGGTCGGTGACCAGGCCATGGCAAAAAAAGAAAAAAATATATATTTTTAATAAAAATATTTTAATAAAAAATATTATTAATAAAAAAAATATTTTACCGGCCATGGCCAGCGACCAGGCCATGGCAAAAAAAAATAAAAATGTATATTTTTAATAAAAATATTTTAATAAAAAAAATATTTTTCAGGCCATGGCTGGCGATCAGGCCATGGCCAAAAAAAAGAAAAAATATATATTTTTAATAAAAATATTTTAATAAAAAATATATTTTACCATCCATGGCCGGCGATCAGGCCATGGCAAAAAAAAATAAAAATATATATTTTTAATAAAAATATTTTAATAAAAAATGTTATTAATAAAAAAAATATTTTACCTGCCATTGCCAGCGACTAGGCCATGGCCCAAAAAAATAAAAATGTATATTTTTGATAAAAATATTTTAATAAAAAATATTATTACTAAAAAAAATATTTTACTGGCCATGGCCGGCAACCAGGCCATGGCCAAAAAAAATAAAAATATATATTTTTAATAAAAAAAATATTTTACCGGTCATGGCCGACGACCAGGCCATGGCCAAAAAAAAGAAAAAATATTTTTAATAAAAATATTATTAATAAAAAAATATTTTACCGGTCATGGCCGGCGAGCAGGCTATGGCCAAGAAGGAGGAAAAGAAAAAAAGAAAAGAAAAAAAGAAAGAAATATTAAAATATTTAAAAATATTATTAATAAAAAGAAATTTTGTAGCGTTACCAAACGCATTTCTGTTCTTTTTCTATTCCAGGGATGGAATTTTGGGCCATTAACAAAGGCCTTAAAATGCTCAGAATCAATTCCGGGCACAGAATAAAAAAGAATCATTTCTGAGCAAAATCTGTTCCCAGGCACAGAATCGTTGTCATGCGCAGCCTT